ACCAGCTTCAGCTTCAAACATCAACGGTTTAACGGTAGTAAAACACCGCCCAACCCAATCCACGCAAAATTTAGCAACCGAATCATCAAAAGCCTAAAACCAATCTCAGATCCATCCCTTTTACCAAATTTCTGAGACATTGCGGATTGGAGCTCCCAGCTATGGCGTCGGAAACTGATTGTCTTCTTCGACACGCTTCGTCCTCCGCAGCAGAGGACGTGGCACAAGATATGGACGCGAAGCCCTTACTTTCTAGGTTTTTGAGCTATCCTATTGCCAATACCAATACGAATCCCCAGAGGCGTCGCAGGCTCTCTGCGAAGCTCGCCTCCGCGCCTCGGCCTCTTCGGCAACAGTCTTTTGGCCGTGACATCGGCCATGCCGCCAAAGAGACCTACTTGATTACTAGCCTCAGCTTCACGCTCCTTCAATACCTCGGGTACCTCTTCTTCTTCTTCTTCTTCAGCTCCTATCGATAATTGGATGTATTTAGCTCTGTTTGATTGCCGAGAAACTCGATGGAAACAGAAAGAAAATAGAAACGTGGAACAAAAACGAAAGTCTCGCAAATTCATTTTATATTGAATAATATTGAAGTTTATGTATTTATATAATAATGTGCTTCATTACTTTTCTGTGACTCCATAAAGCTTTAATTTAACCTGAAATTTCACTTCATTCTTTTTTTGCTGCTCAACTTTGAAAATTTGTGTTATTTCTAATCATTTATTTTCATTCAGGGTAGGCTACCGGTGGATGACAAGATTACTTGCTCTTGGTTGTTATGCCATGTTACTTATGCCCGGGTTTCTTCAAGGTGTGTGTTATGTTTGTTCCTATAACCACCGTCCAAATACGATCAAAATAAAAATAAAAAACTTTGTGACTGTGTAATGGCGGAAGGCTCATGGGTATCACCATTGAGGCTAAATTGGCTGTTTGCTAAAAATCCTCAGCCAGTCTTGGAAGATATTATTTAATGTTCATACTGATCAAATCATAATGTCTGCTGATCGAATTATAAGAAAATCTACAGTTATCTTTGTGTAAAATAAAAAGGCATCTGCATTTACGATTAGCTTCACTGTCATGATTTGTGCGGTTTGGTGCTAATCGAAGAAAGAATGTTCCATCTAGATGGGATTGTGCACCATCAAAATCATCTTTTGGAAAAGGCTCCAAGTTTCATTATTGTTGAAGTTCCACTTCAATAATCCCATCATTATGATAATTAGTATAGACATGTCAGTAGAATCCCCACTGCTGTGCTAAGACATTCTTTGACATAATCAACTTCCTAAACACAGCTTTGTTGTTTGCCATGTGATGAGAGTTTTGTCTACTTTGTTTATTATTTTATTGTAATGAATAGTAACTTGTGCTGTTCAATGGAGCATAACTTGATTGTTTATTTTTGTCCAGTTGCATTGTGTTATTTCTTTTCAAGCCAGGTCCGGCGTAGTATTGTGTATGGAGATCAACCAAGAAATAGGTAGGTGAATTTTGTTAAAGGTTTTGATTTTGACAAGTTCTGTGAATTCATTTCTTTAAAATTTTATCATGTATTATTTACAGGTTGGATCTCTATTTACCTGCAAATAGCGATGGAAAAAATCCAGTAGTGGTATTTGTAACTGGTGGAGCCTGGATTATTGGGTGAGTGATTTTAAATGGATGAGGGCATTGCTTAAAGACAGCTGGAAGCTGTTAGTTCAGCAATTCTTATAAATTTCTTTCGCGAATTGTTACAACAGTCTAGAGATTATATTCTCTGCTTCTTCTTTTTCTTGGGGTGTATTATGCAAAGTGTTATTAGGTTAAGTTTCTGGTTGTATGACATTTAAGTTTCTATAATTTCATACTGATTTAGGTATAAAGCGTGGGGTTCTCTTTTAGGTCTGCAGTTGGCTGAAAGAGACATCATAGTGGCATGCGTTGATCTTGGGGTGTATTATGCAAAGTGTTATTAGGTTAAGTTTCTGGTTGTATGACATTTAAGTTTCTATAATTCTATACTGATTTAGGTATAAAGCGTGGGGTTCTCTTTTAGGTCTGCAGTTGGCTGAAAGAGACATCATAGTGGCATGCGTTGATTACAGGTAATTGCTTTTAGTTCAAGAAGTACAAGTTGTAATGCACAATTAGATTAACTTTTATATGGTGCTTTAAATGAAGTATTTGGAAAATATTAGGCACTGATCGACTTGTAGACACCATGTTCACGTTGTGTCGATTATTAGAGGGATGCTTTAGTACACTAAACTATTCGTTTTTGTTCTATTCTGTTAAAGAATTGTAGTATACCAATAAAACTGCATAGGCATAAAATATAGACACTTCTTCGACCAAAAAAAAAAAAACAACTTATGTTGATTCATGTCCAAAAAAGTTGATCAAGCATGGTTAATTTATGCCAGTTTTTCAGTTTAACCATATAAGGATTGCTCCCTGAAACTTGAGTATATGCCATTCTAAAAGTTAAAAAGAGCCTCTTGTTTTGTTATGCTTGTTGTCTATGCATTGAAGATTTGTATTATGTGTATGTCACCCAAACGAACAGTTTTCACATTCAGTCTGTCCTTTCCTCTACAAGTTATGTTGATATGACTCATATGATGCATGCAGAAATTTTCCCCAGGGTACCATCAGTGATATGGTGAAAGATGCTTCTGAGGGTATCTCATTTATCTGCAACAATATAGCAGATTATGGAGGAGACCCTAACAGGTGAAAGTCCAACAATTTTGTTCTTCCCTTCCCCATCTTGAAACTGATTGATTTCTTTTTCTGACTTTGGTCCTTCTGTGATTTTTTTGAGTAGAATCTATCTAATGGGACAATCTGCTGGTGCACATATTTCTTCCTGTGCTCTTTTGGAGCAAGCAATCAAAGAATCTAAGAAAGAAGAGAGCATTTCTTGGAGCGTCTCCCAGATAAAGGCTTATTTTGGTTTATCTGGCGGGTAAAGTTTTATTTGTCACATTATCATGAATCTACGGAACTTTACTGAATTTGAAGAAAAAAATTTATAAATTGGTTGCACCATTTGCAAAATTGGGGCTTCACAAAAAAAGTCTAAATGTGTCTAAACTAGGCAAGACAAAATCAGACTTCTAGAAACATAAATTTTTTGAAGCATGGTATATGATAGTGGAAAGAAATCTTTCCATCAGATACTTGACCGTAAACACTACACTGTTGCATTACTTACATGGCTCATTGTAGCATCAAGCTGTATTAGAGATTGATGACCAGTCATTACTTTGGTACTATGTTGATGGATCTACTCATTGAAGGCTATGGATGGATCAATACATTGAACCTTTTTTTTAATTCTCTTCACAGATATAATTTGATTAATTTAGTTGATCATTTCGACAATCGTGGACTATATCGTTCCATTTTTTTAAGGTACTTATCATAAGACATTTTGCTGGCGCTACTATCAATTATATTATGTTTTCTTTCTTGTTTGTTACTTCACGATGCTTTTGTTGTGATGTGTCATGCAGCATTATGGAAGGTGAAGAATCCTTGCATCAATTTTCTCCTGAACTTAAAGTAAAGGACCCAAGCAATAGGAATGCTGTTTCTCTCTTGCCTCCTATTACTCTTTTCCATGGAACTGCAGATTATTCGATACCATCCAATGCCAGGTTAGAATGCCCCTGATATAATAAATATTCATATGGGATTTGATGCATACTGTGTATATGTTGTATAATAGTACCCTTAATTTAACACTATGCTCATATTCTTCTGGAGCTATAAAAGAAACTAACATGTAGTAGATGTCTAATTTGAATACTTGGCTTATTATGCCTCCCATAAATTGAATTCCAAAAATGTTTTCTTAAATTAGAATAGATATAATGCCTGTCATCCATGGCTTGTGGTCTTCCTTTTTATACTATCCATACAGTACCAATTAAGACCTTGAAAGAAACATTTTGCCTTTAGTGGAAAACTTCAATTCGATCTGTCTTGATACAGACATCTGAATACCACTTGAATCAAAATATATTATGGTTTGATATCTTCAGAAACTAATGTGTCTTTATGTGCAGTAAAATTTTTGTAGACGCGCTTCAAAAGGCAGGCGCTCAAGCCGAGTTAATACTATATGATGGAAAGACTCATACAGATTTGTTTCTTCAAGTAAGTTATACTTCGAAGTTGAACCTTTTATTGTCACTATTACAAACTTCCGACTCAATTTACTACTCATATTTTGGTGCACGTACACTAGTTTATAGTTTAGACTCTTGGATAGCAATCTGAAATAGGATTTCAGGAATTCAATTATATATGAGGCTGCACTTTGCAGGATCCTCTAAGAGGTGGTAAAGATGAATTGTTTGACCAACTAATTGCTGTGATACATGCTGGTGATAAAGAAGCTCTTGAGAAAGATGCCATGGCACGCCCAAGAAAACGCCTGGTTCCAGAGATCTTGTTGAAGTTGGCACGCAACATCAGTCCCTTCTAGGTCACACACTGGTCATTATTTATCATAAATTATGCTCATGAAAAAGTGGTTGATTCAATCAGCTAGCGGAGATCTAAATTGTTCGAAAGAGAATATGAGATATTCAATTTGATGCGGTTGCTGCATCGTAATCCCAGAGTTGAATATTGCAGTTGAAGATCAGTAGCCTCAGATATTATCTAGAGATGGCCCCCCTTGTACTCCAATTATTTTACATGATTGGAAGAATTTGCTTGTGTAGTCCATGAATATAGTCTTAATTCTTAAACGCCTTCAAATTTTAAATATTTTATTATAGTCAAGGTCTGATTTAGGGACTAGTTCTGTTTTTTTTCTTCATATTAAACAGTTTTTTTTTTCTTTCCAAAAGGCATGAGGTGCAAATAAGAAAGAAACACAGGCAAACGATTCAAATTGAAAGTGAAGTTAGTTTAATAAGAAAGAACAACAAATTTAAGAAGTGTGAGCTTCACTTAAACAAATATTCTAGACTCTAGTAGAGTAAGATAACTAGGCATCAAATCAAACCACCATCCATTTCACTGCATCCTCAGAGCTCACTTTACATTGTTTTCTGCAATTCCTTTTTGACATTAATACAACCACCTATTTGACTTTGGGCAAAATAGAAAGTCACCATCATTATATAAAATGATGGTGAAGTCTTACAAAATTTGCATATAAGAACCTGTTCTACACAAATGTGTTAAATAAGAGTATCAATTTCTAACATTTTACTCTAAACTACCAATGAATTTGGACTCTCCATTTCTCAGCCACAGTATGAAGTCTCAAGCAATCTTGTGTTCAAACTCAGAAGAATAATTTTCCAGGGTAAAAGAAAGCCGAACGGCATTGATCAATGACCTAACTATTTGGAGATTTTATCAGCAGGTGGTGGAACTGGAACCTTTCTAACTGGGGTGGGAGGGATTGCAGAAGCCTCTTCGGCGGCATAATGCTTGCGTAATCTGTCCTGAAGGGCCCGTACTCGATCCTCAGTCTTGCGAAGCTTTCTCCATCTGTAAGCAGTCCAGAGGGCAAGACCACCATATACAGCAATATAGGAACCCCACACATAAGGGTAGGTCTCTGCGTGCTCTTTGATTTGTCGATACTTTTCTACCACAGCTCCTCCTAAACCAGCAGCAGCTTGAGTACTTGTGGTTTGCTGCTTTTCTTCTCCTTGTTCCTCAGTTGCCATCCCTCAATTTAGCTATTGAAACCACTGCAATATGAAGGAAAGTAGAACAAAAGTTGCAGAGAGATTTAAATATATATTAAATCATAATACAAAGTTACACAATCAGAAGAATGATCTGAGTACGTTAAATCACATCCAAATTTCTTAATAGCAACTAAAAATCCTAAGTCCAAAACCAAAACACAAGATACATTGATACACACAAAATTACCAAATTGAAAGCTTTAGCATTAAACATCACACAATCAGATCATGGTAAGCAATCAAAATATAACTATGGCTTTCGCCATTTAGGTCACAAGCATAAATGACAATTCCCGTACTGCAAATCGAAACATTTCAAGATATTATCAGATTGCAGGACAACACACAGTCAACCGGATTGAACAACTCACCAATTAGCTTTGGCAATCGGAAAATCAAATTTCTAGACATACCCAGATAAGAAAATTCAATGAAAATGGAAGTAGACATTAAAATATTGAAATCAAAAGTTAGAAATGGGAGCTTACCAATGGTGGGAAACGCTGAGAATCTTCAGAGATTGCAAAGAAGAAGAGGAAGCCTGACCTGACCGAAGTAAAAGAAGGGTTTAAGATCCCCAAACCCAAGCAAAAAAATATGGGCTTGGATCAAACGACAAAAAAATGTGGCCCAGCTAGCATGTCAAAAGTGGGCCTGTGACCTGCAAAACGGCATGACCCGGATTGTCGTATGACGGGTCGCCCTCTTAATGTCTACATGAACCAGGCAGCCCTCCGGTTACTGGGTTTGGTTTCCCCACGTCCAGAGCGGTTAAATAACCGTTACTTTTCAAATGACGAACTATCTCCAAACCAGCAGAGCCCAATAAAGCTCTCTTTTTCTCTCACATTGCCACACAAACACATTGCTCTTTGCTGCAATGGCAGTGCTTCAATCTCTTGTCTTCTTGTTCCTAATGTTTTCTTTGGCTTCTACCCATTCTCAGTTTACGCAATTCCAGAACTACCCAGGTAATGAAATTCTGTAAATCTGTTTGTGTTAGAGGAATATGTTGCTCTAAAGGCTAGGCCTTCGAAAGTGACTGTGGTTTTCATTGTTTTCTCCGTTGCAGCTAAAGAGCCAACAAGAAGAAATTCTCGTAGACTTTCGAGGCCTCTGATTGGACATGATGGGAAGGTTTATACTTGCTCTGAGAAAGATTTGCTTGCATTTGAAAGTAATGGGTCCATTGCTTGGACCATGCATTTGAATTATACATGCAATTCTGATATGGCTCCTGTTCATGGTGGTAGAAGAAAGGTATGTGCTTTTCTTAATATGTCATGTCTAATATTATCTGATATCTGGTCCAAGTTTTTCTTTTTCTTGGTTTCTTTTTTCCAATCTGCTACAAAGAAAAGTTGAAAATTTATGCAAATCTTGGCAGATGTATCTGGTTGCAGATAACAGGGTGATTAAGATCAACTTGTTAAACAATGGAACTTCTGAACCAGCTGCAGAAGTTTTACTTAGTGCAGAACCAACTAAAGAAGGACAAGGCGGGATTGTTGGGCTCGCAGTTAGCACAATGAGTTCATCTGTATTTGTAAATATTAAAAATCGGGGACTCTTTGCATACATGACACGTGGACAGTTGCTCTGGAGTGCTGGACCTGTGATTGATCTATTTGGCTATCGTCAAGGTTGTAGGAAGAACAGTGCAGATTGTTTTTTTAATTCAGTCCCTGTGATTGATGAATGTGAGGCTAGTATCTATGTAAGGTCTGCTCATCCTTGCTTTTTTTCCCCATTTTTCTTTCAGAATTACAATTTAGGGGCATATTACAATGTGATTAGTTTCTCCCTCAGTATACTATACACAAGTTTGAAGAATGTTTACATAATTCAGGAAAGTAATTTCATTCGGAATTTTTTTGTCAAATCAACAATTTATAGTGTCATAACATCATACAGATCTCAAATACTGGAGGAGAATTGTACTCATTATCAATCCGCCGTCCACACTTCAAGTGGATCCAGGATTTAAGTTCTTATGACAAAGTTTTCACTATAACTCCTGCAAGCAATGGTAGATTGTATGTTACTGTTCCAGTTAAAGCTCTTTTGTTGGCACTAGATGTTTCTTCAGGAAATGTTTTGTGGGAGGGAAGTATTGGGCCATTAAGTACCGCAGATTACACACCAGTTGTCGATTCTAATGGTAAACTCCATGTTTCTTTATGAACTTTTGCCAAAATCTGTTTATAACTCATGGTGAATTGATTAGCCTTCTCTGCCACTTCATCCGCTATAATAGGTTGGATATCTATTGGTTCATTAGATGGGTTCCTATACACATTTTCACCAACTGGGGTTCTAAAGAAATTCTCAAGAACAGCTGTAACAGATTCTGTGATCCAAGTCAGTCCTATCCTTGACTGCACTGGCTTTGCAATTTATATTTCTCAGACAGAGATGGAGGGGAAGATCAGCCGCACAGTAGGCGAATATACTTATGTGTCTGCTATGAAACCCAAAAGTGTTCTTCTTACCTTGTATGTTCCAGCAACTGGGTCCATCTACTGGTCTGAAAGCTATCCTGGTAACTCAATTTATGGGGTGTTTTCTTCCTTTTTCACACCATTTTTATTGCTTAGCACACCCTAATTCTTTGGTCGGTTGTACCAGGCCAATTCTCCTCCTTTATGTCTCAGAGTGATCTTCGCCATTTTATACTAGACGAGAGGATTCTTCTTGCATTTGTGGCAGCTTCAAGTGAGATTCTAATTGTAAAGCACATATACTTCTCAACAATAGTTCATCAGTCATACAATATTTCGGTGTGTAGAAATATTGATTGCCACTGTAGTCTAATTGAGAAACATGAGAAAGAAGAGTGTCTTATCATTCTTTTACCACAGAGTCATATAGATGTGCACACCAATCCAAAACTCATTTGAGGTTGACAACCCCCCTATAATGTATTTAGATGATATTATTATGTATATCTTCTGTGGAGCTAGCAGCAATTGGACTCACATATTGATATGTCTTATTTAGATGATATTATTATGTATATCTTCTGTGGAGCTAGCAGCAATTGGACTCACATATTGATATGTCTTCGTTGAATGAATGCAGAGACTGGAAACCCACTGGCATGCCGTTCTACACGTAAGACCTAACTCCACAATTGACTTGGCGCTCATTTATCTCACAGTGAATATAATTCTCTACTTATATTCAGGTCAGAAGCTGATGTCTAGCTGCTCCCAAGTAAGGCCGAAGCTTGTCAGCATCTACACTGGTAAGTAGCAACACTATGCAAATGCCATAATTGTAAATCTTCACTTTAAAGTTTTGAGTTGCCAGTGCTTTATTGTTTTTGTTCCCATCAGGTAATGAAAGGGCAATACTCTGGTTCCTGCTTTTTGAATCTGCAATCATGGTAGTACTTGCTGGACTTGTGCGATTCTGTTGTATATTTTGGAGTAAAAAGAAGCTTAAAGGTGAAAACCTTGGAAGTTTTCTTGAAAAGAGAGTAAGCTTTAAATCCTTATCATATGCTTCTTTAAAGTGTAAGTTTTCCATTAAAGAAAGGGATAGAGATGAGGCAGATCAAAGATGCTTATACTTGGACTAGATTAGCATTTATCAGTTACAGTTCTTGCACTATAATTCTTGTAAAGCCATGTTCCCCTCACTTTCTCAAATATGTTTGTGGCTCTTTTTATCCTTAATCCCAGCGTTCTCTTCGACTCAAAAAGAAGGCATTTGATAGAACCATTACAGAACTTGAGCAAAAAGCTGCAGTTGAAGCAATGGCCAATGAAGAGGTGCTTGAGAAATTGGGCAATCTGCTACAAAAAAGGGAAGGCATAGAAAGAAAGCTATCAACAACCTATAGCTTGGGCAGAGATGGAGGCAGCTCAAGGTCAAAAACTCTTCTTCCATTATATGACGGAAAAACCAGAAGCTATTATCTTCAAGGTGGAAAGAAAGAGAGTGGTGCTGTCTTCCACACATTAAGTGACACATCAACTTCGATAGAAAGCAGCAGTGGAGGAGGAGAGGCTGGCTGGACTTCTTGTGAAGACAAAGGGAAGGCACCATTGGAAGAAGAAGAGAGCTCAAGTGATGGTGGGTTCTTTACAAGAGACTACAAGAAAAGCCCATCAGAGCCAGCTTCAAGCTCAAGAGGATTTGTGAATCCATTGCTTGGGGAAAAAGAATGGACAGGCAAGAAGTTGCATTATGAGGATGAAGTGGATTCAGAGCCAAAGATAATGACTGGAAGCAGGAGCTTATCATTAAAAAGAAGAAGGGCTTTATCTTCAACTAATTAGAAAATTGATCACATAATCAATCACATAATTACACATACCACATACACGGATGACTTGCAAATTACAAGGCTGCCGTGGTTGTTTCTCTTTTTCTAGTGCAAGAGGTACAGTGTGGCTTTTGTCTTTCACATTGCAAGCCTCAAGTGCAAATTACAAGCCTCTTATTTTTATATTGGTAGCACCAATTTTTATGTAAATGGTAAGTTTTTTTTGTGTTTGTCAGACAAGTTCACATATTATATGTGAAAACAACAAATACAGATACATACAATACTGTATCAATGTCTCTACTTTTCCAGCTACTCTGAGTGTGATTAAAAAAACTTGTACTGTAGTCTTGACTACCAAATGCCATTTTCTGAAACATTCTAATTTGTGCAGATTGTTGTGCGGAATCAAAAATTTCACTTTGTCCAGGTTTCATTCCGTTACTGAGATCTGATAATTCATCTAAGGAGTCAAAAGCCCTTACCACCTAGCAAGTGGAGAAAGTGTATTAGTTCTCAGCAGTACAAACAAAATGTTGGAAAGGGTCATACCATATTTTGTAAATACCTGTCTCATCCATGGCCTTTTCGCAGCTTAATGACGCACACAAGCTGAAGCCGCCTCAATCATTCGAAACATTTCATTCTCAACATAATTCTTTTCCAGCCTTGGATCTGCCAACCCTTTAAAGTCTTCATTCTCAAGTGCTTGAGAAAGCAAAGGCCGAGCCTGGAGGAAAAGTTTAGCTGTTATAATCTAGGCATTGTAGACAACCATACAATTCTGGTCATACAAAATTAGTAAAAAACAGGTAAAAACCCACTTAAAACATGCCAATGGAAACTCAGTAATCTAAATTAGCATAATCATATGCATTACTGAGAATAGAATAGTCCCACAATGATTTGCACAAACACACATTTGAAAAAGAATAACTTCCACCACCTACAAGGAGATAACAACGATGTTTATGAATTTACCCATTCAACTAGGCTCTCATCACCCAACGGCTGAGAAGAATCCACGGGTTTGCGGCCTGTAATTAGCTCCAATAGCACAACACCATAAGAGTAAACATCAGACTTGTCCGTCAACTTTCCACTTGTTGCATATTCTGGAGCCATGTATCTGGAAAATCACACAATTCCATTCATCAGAAGAACATATAAAAGCAAATGATACCATGAATAGAAAGATTGAAGAAATGGGAAGGATCCTGATCCAAAGAAGTGAAGGTATCTACCCAAATGTTCCCATTACTCTTGTGGTTACATGCGTATTTGAATCCAATGATAGCTTTGCAAGCCCAAAATCTGCAACCTGTTAGTGAGAGAAAATTAATCTTTAGAAGATTAATTGCTGTCAAATGATTAACAATAACAGACAGCGAATATGTGGTCTGGCTGCCAGTTATTGTAAGAGGACTTTGTAGTCATTCCATGAATATATAAATATCAGACTCCAAAAAGGTTCTTATTTAAAAGATGGAGATGCATCTATGTGAGAAGCACTAAAGGCAATCACTATAACCGGATAGAAGCATTTTTCTTTTTTTCTTGAAAATTAAGGCTGTACAATACCTGAGCTTCAAAGTTGCTATCCAAAAGGATGTTTGATGACTTAATATCTCTGTGAATAATGCGGGGATGACCTAATAAACACATTAAAACAAAATATTAAGAGACGAGAGAGAGAATTAGATGCTAGAAGGCATGACGTTAAATACAACACTAAAGTAACAAACTTTGCATAACTTTGAAAACAGCCAACCTTTCTAATGTATAATAGTCATTTCATTTATATCATTTTTCTCTTGGGTTACCATATTGGAAATAAAAGCACAGACCACGATTAAATTCCAGAAATGAAGCTTGTTTGTTTTGGACATGTCAATTCTGTAAACAAATAATTCTTTCTCAATTGATAATGCTACTCAGGGGTTGAAGGCCTTGGAAACAAATATAAACTTTGACTGCTGCTGTTTCGCATAGGATAAATTACTGTTTGTACTTAGATGGAAACTATGACAAAGGAAAGGGTACTGTTCATTGAATTAACAAATAATAAAACAGTTTACATTTCTCACTGTGTGTCTGTATTCAAACAAACCAAGGTCTAGAAAAGTTGAATCCCAAATTGAGAGGTCCAGAAAAAAACAAAGAAGAAACTCACAATCTTCGTGTAAGTAAGCTATTCCACGAGCCGCACCAGCAGCAACCTTGACTCTGGTTGCCCAATCCAGAACCGGCATGCCCTCGCCTGCAGTTTTCAATAGAGGAAAGTTAGAAGAGGTACAAATTTTCACAAGAACATGCAGACGAGAATTATGCTTCAAATTTACCAATGCTCCAAATGTTGCAAGATAATTTATGCTTCACAATGACTGCATGTAGACATGAGAACTACATGCAGTGAATTTGAAATATAAATTACTAAGCAAGTCTATTGGCACCGGTTAACATAGCCACCTCTTAAAAGATTATTAGTTAATAAATCAATTACAATTACAGATATCGAACTGACAGGTACATCACACAAGCCCTACTTTGGTTCCCAAGCCTTTTAGATTTGTCTTTCTTTTAAAATCAGAAAGCTCACCATGAAGATGGTAATGTAGGGTATCGTTTGGAACGAAGTCATAGACAAGCAATCTTTGATGCTCAGATATACAGTAACCAACCAGGGAAACCAAATGGCGATGGTGTACACGACTAATAATTTCAACTTCAGCTTTAAACTCACGTTCCCCTTGTCCACCACCAATTTTTAGCTGTTTTACAGCAACTTCCCTTTCATCTTCCAGAACACCTTTGTATACGCAACCAAATCCACCTTCGCCCAAAAGATTCTTTGTCGAAAAACCATTTGTGGCTTGGAGTAGTTCTTCATATGTAAACCATGATCTTGAATTGTTTACTCCACCAGGATCTGATTGTGCATACATGAAATCACTACCAGAACCATTTCCTACAAGGCGAGGTGGAGAATGTGGCTTCAGAAATACTGAATCTGGAGAGCAGAAAAAAGATCCATTAGTTTGAACTAAATGACCTCATTTGCACATTCATCTACAGCTTGTTAGTTAATTCAGAAGCTTGACTTTAATAAGATTTATACAATGTTTTAGCCAGAGCATACAAATCGAGTTTTCCATTTAGTTTCATCTACTAATACTATAATTTAGAGAGGTAATTATCTATTTGGCCCTACTTATAGTAATTTAGGGACTGATTTTTAAGGTTCCCTATTACATTCAGTTTTTCTATAACATTAGGATAATTTAGGTACTTTATTATTTTGGGATTACCTATCTAAATAAGCTTTATTGTAATAAGCTTTTAGATTCTAGCATGTGATTAGTAGTGATTAAGATATCTATTTATGGTTACAGTAATTTTCCTTTTGTTCTAATGTTGTTCCTATTTACTAGTGTCAGACGCTTATTGTCCTCAACCAATAACCTATCAAACCTTATAGTCCTTGTATTCCTGGATGTTCAAATGTGATGCCCATTTTAAATGAAATCACAACTGGGAAAATATTAAAAGGCAAATAATTAGCATTTTACAGTGAATTAAACATTTATAATTCTTCCAATTCTCTTGGAACAGCTGCTACAATTCCTTGTCTGCGAAGCAAATTTGAATACTTAAAAGCGTCAACAAACCAACAAGAAAATGAAATAATTATTGTTGTGCATGTTCACTGTGTTACCTGAATTCTGGGATGAAGCGAGGGGGGAAGGCATGGTGTAACGAAGATTTGATCTAGTTCTTTTCTTGTGCTTCTTTGCAAACCAAACCGCCATAACAACAAGACTGAGCACCAGAAATCCAACTGCAATTCCAATTGCCACAGCTCCTCCCGTGTTTAACCCGCTTGTATTTCTAGATGTGGTATTTGCCGTTACATTGGCATTAGTAGTTGACCTTGCAGTTGGCTTCTGTGGTAAGGGAGTTGGACTTGATGAATTACTAGGTGGAGCTGGAGAACTAAGAGGAGGAGAAGAAGATGAAGGGACTGAAGGAGGTGGTGAATGCAAAGTGGGTTCAGGGGGGGAGTTATCAGCTGGTGGAGGAGCAGATTTAGAACCAGATGGAGGAGGTGTACCAGTGGGGGATGGAGGGGATTTTTCTGGTGCTTTTCCCTGTGGTGGTGGTGGTGAAGAATTGGCCGAACGTGGTGGTGGTGGTGAAGAATTGGCCGAAGGTGGCGGTACATCAGCTGGAGGAGGTGGAGAATCTGAGGTGGACGTAGGTGGAGGTGAGGCTTCTGCTGGAGGTGGTGGGGAAGATTGGGGAGGAGGGGAACCTCTTGATGGAGGCGGTGGGGACGCATTTGGTGGGGGTGCAGATGCAGCAGGAGGAGGGGAAGCTGGTGGCGAAGGTGGTGATGATGCGGGTGGTGATGGTGGGGGTGATGCCACCGGAGGCGATGGGGGTGGAGCAGTTGGAGATGATGGGGGTGGAGACTTGGGAGGGGATGGGGGGGGAGCCTGAGGAGGCGAAGGGGGGGG